AGATCTAGACAAGCCATTTTATACTGAGTTCACTTTACCCAAGCGCTACTTAGGATGATGGCAATCTAGCGGTGATGAGGGAGCTTGGCCAGCAACAAGCCACTTTACCTATGCTACAGTTCATCAATCTCCAGTGTATCTGCATATGGTGCAGGGCATAGCAGCGCGTGGTAAACTTGTGGATAACCACATGCTACGCGACGCGACACCCATCACTTGAGCTTTGATCTCCGATTCACTCCCTTGATTTCCGATTCACTCCGATTGACCATTTCCCGTTGGGGTATATTCGAGCGATCTACACTCACGATTGAATAAAGTAAAGCAAGAAATTCCTCCGCCCGACGGGAGAAACCAAATTTGCCGTATCCCGCAGGAGCACCGGCGCAAACACGCCCGCTATGAAAGCGGAGCGATTAGTTGAAAAAATAATACTTAGGTCTAGTGAGCCGCGCACCTATTTTGTTCGTTTGAGCGTCGGGATCCGAAGATGACTGGCACACAAAGTGTAGGAAGGCTGTCACGGATATCCACACCTATCACAACAACAAACGAAGGTCAGCGTTGCCTTCCGCGACTATGACCGAAAGAAAAACACAGACATTCACGGCCTCCGGTGGAAACGCATCCAGCAGTTCAAACGCCTCGTCGCGGTTTGTCATCTCCACACATCGCGAGTGCAATGTAACAGGGACGAGCGGCTCTGGTAAGGAATCCAGGAGCCGCAACAGGGTTTCGCCAAATGCAACGGGGGCCTTGTCATCTTTAAGGTCCGGCACAAAGGGGAACTCCGCCCCAGTGTCCAGACACTAGCGACAAAAAATGAGCTCCACGACGTCAGCATATTAGTGGTCACCAACCTCCCGTATGGTTTCGACCATTGTCTGGTCTGCAGTCGAGACGAAAACGTTTTCCTAAATGGCGACGTTAGAGGCGTCAAAATGTCCTTCCCCGAGCAAAGACCCACAAGGTTGAGTTCGGGCGCCATCATCCAGTTCACGAGCCGCATAATTTCGCGTGGCGCATTTATACTCCGGTCCTCTGCAAGCAATTCACTTGAGGACTTGAGCGACCGTATGGGGCCGGGCAACAGCGTCAGCCTCGACAGCTTGTTCGCAAAACATGTCGGCACTTTCCCAAAGAAATCAGTCTAGATGCGCGAACCATGGATTCGTGCCACTCACTGTATTCCGCGGTAACTGCAATAAAATGGTCTTTCCCCATGACCGTATGCAAAATAAGAGTGCAGTCAAGTTCCTTGTGGTCGATGTTCAACCGGGCGGCAGAATCGTTGTCAATGTACGCGGTTAGTGTTATATATGCAAGCTCGTCGGGCAAGAGCAGAGCCTAGAACCGCTTAGATAACTAGACACAGGTCTCTTCAGCAAGACTTACGGTCATCGGTTCAACTTTCAACCAATCAGGATCTACAGCCGCTGTCAATCTGAATATTCAACCACAGCGGCTTCACTCACGAAGCGACGACTCGTCATCAATCGGCACCAGCCGATATGCACAGGGAACCTGAAAAACAAGTTTGATTCATACCACCAAATATCTTTTGAGATCGAACTGCACGCACATGGCCAATATTCCGGATACCCACCTGCTGGGTGACAGTCTTTTTGTACCTGTGCAAAGCATAATGCACACGTACACAATCCAACACAACTCAGCACGTACGAAAGCTTCCCCAAGTTAACAGCGGCATTCATAATTTTAAGGTTCACCCGCGCATTCGTATCCTCATGTGCATCCTCCAGGCCGTTCAGCTGCCGATACAGCTTGTCCGCAGCCGCTTCCGCCGCCGACTGGTCGAATAAGTCAATCTGACAGACGGGACCGGTCGGTAAGTCCGCTACTTGAGACACCATCGTAATTAGCACACACCTCGACGGTGAACTCGGCCGACACAGGCCGGTGGTCGCTCTGCGTGATCTGCGGATGCCCCGTGTAGCTCTTCTGCTGAATGGGCGCGAAGGCGTTTGAGGCGAAGAGCACACGATCGGTCCACGCCGGGCGACGTCTATGAGTTAGGATCGTGTTAGTTGAGCCAGAAACGAATCAAATAGGATATTTACTTCAAGTCATATCCGAGATCATCCTTCAGCAGCCCTGCATTGAATCGGTAGGTCCTACACGGAGACATCAAATGAAAACGAAAAATATGGAGCTGAAAAAGCGCACGGGAAATGGGTGATGGGACCCTCACTGAACATGTCGAATGCCTTGTTGGCGCGCACTGCGGATTTAAGCTACCAAGGCATGAAGGTCATGTTCTCCCCGGAATTACGAAAGAAAATGTGTACCTGATCATATTGGAGCAACGCCTCATATCTGCTCTCCGCCCATTCTTCGGAGCCCAGAATGACGCGAACATCCGCGTCGGGGACATCGATCCGGTAGTTCAGATCTACATTGCATCCATCAGCAAAAGTCAACTTTTTCAACACGCGAGCCAGTAATCACCTCCCTGCGCAAAAAAAAACGCACACACACTGTAAGCAAACCCAAAGCAAAATCAACATCACCACAAGAAAGAAACTCACCATCCAGAACAGCGCGTCGCTCTCGAAGATATTACATGTCTGCGCAATGGGTGCCGCCGCACCCTCTTGCTTGACCGTCCCCAGAACGAACTGCAGGCGCTTCGCAAGGTCGTGGAAGTCCGCGTTCCGCTTCTCGACCATATCGTCGAATGCCGCCAGGTGCGCGTTGACGAATGTGAGTACGGTCGGCCCGGGAGTCTTCACCGCGTCCGTCGCGGGCGGGGTGAACTTCATGCGGATGGCGGCGCCGCCTTTGTTTCCCTATGGTTGGTTGGAGGAGATTCGTTAAATTAAATCATTAGTACGGAGAACTCACCATGAGCCCCATGATGCCCGTCCCAGCCGTCGAGCTCCTGATCTCGCTGAAGCACGGCCTGAGCGTCTTCCGCACGATAACTACAATCAATATCCCAACCAGCTGCTTCGACGCGAGCTGTCCGCGTCCAGAATATTAAACACGAAGCACAATATTAATTCAACCAGCGACCCAACACACCTTCTCGTACAACTCTGCCTGCGCGCCGAGGGCAGCAAACACCGCGGTGCACCAGGCCACTTCCTTTAAAGTGCTGGTGGTGTATATGAGGGCCTCCGTTGAGAGATCCAGTTCCTGAAAGCCCAGGACCAGCAGATCCGGGAATGAATCCGCGTCAGGGTCCGCGGGGTCCTTCTCCGCCGAATCAGGCGCGCGCACTGCGGAACGGATGTTTCAGTTCAAAATTACAACATTCAAAAGCGCAATAAGTCAAATTACTTGCGGAATCCAACGGATTTTTTGTGACCTCGCCCATAGACAGAGGCGAAATCTCCTTCAGTGGCGGAATACCAAATTCCGTTTGGTTGACAGCGCCACCGACCCACGAAGACAGGTCCTGGGAAGGGAGGTTGCCGTTCACATTGAACGTCCCGACGCGCACTCTGCGAATGATTAAACCACGTCGATTGAATCAACTTGGCGCGTACTTGAGTTTTTGTTTTCCCTGCGAGCACGTCTCCCGGACGCGATTGCGTATCCACTCGTCGCGGATACACAAGATGTCAGCGAAATCGTCACCTGTCTCGCCGGCAAACGCAGGGGAGAGCCGCGTGTGGAGCGGTTTGCGTGCGACGCGCAGGTCTTGAGGGACCGCAAATACTTCACCGGCATATCAGCGAGTAGAAGATTCCCCCAAACGAGAGAAAACACGCACACGGTGGTAATGGGGCACGTCTCGAGGTGTACGGAGCCAACCACGAAAACGTGGTTAGTGGTGTGACGCTCGGCGGCGCGTCTGGTGAGCGTTCACGCGTCGTTCTTCGTGATCCGGGAATTAAAAAACGCACCTGCTATTTCCTTGAGTCTTTTGCACTCTGCCAACACGTCGCGCAGGGTCTGGACGTGTTGTGTACACAGCGTCAGGGGTTCGAGGCCCTGGATATCGCCCTGCTTGATTGTGAGGCTAAGGAGACCTGCGAACGAAGCTCAATCGGCGCGACTGGCTTCGGAATAAATTCGCGTCTTTACCAGGAGAAGCCTGTGACGTAGGACGCAAATCCAGCGTCTCGCGTCTGACTTGCGCCATGGTAATGGAAAAGTCCCCGAACACGGGAAACACGCGGAGTATGTCGGATTGGTCGAAAGGCCGGCCAATAGCCTTGAACTTGAGGATGAACACGCTGCGGACACAGATGATCAGCGAGTTGGAGCAAAGCCCGGGCATGCGGATCGAGCTGAACCGCGTGAGCCAGAGTCAGGTGGTGGGACACGTACCTGCCCTCCTCCTGCGTATTGGGGCCATCGCTGTGGGACAACACGACCAGAATCCGCTTGTTCCGAGCGTTGTCGAGCTGACTCTGAGAATCTGGTGCTGGAACAGGGGTTTCGGGACCGTTTGACGGCGGAACGACGATGCCCTCCAGCACAACCTTGACCTGGTCCGACGGTCGCAGTAGAGCTCTAATGGCGCTCTCGAGGGTGGCCATGGCTCGAGGATTTGGCGGTGGAGGCAATCCTTATGACGGTAGTGTGACAACTGTCAAGAGCACTGCAAAAGAGTGATGGGAACTGTACTTGCCGACTGATGGCCGTGTTCTGTTGAAAGTTTAAAAGTTGCTGAACGAGAGAGGTAAGTATCAATCGTTCAGAGAAAAAACCTACCTAAACCACCATTGAAAATCAAATCCAGCGTGAATTTCGGTAGTCCCTCCTCGACAGGCACCTTTCCTCTTGACACCCTAGTCTGGTTTGTTTCAATAGAACTGAAAGGTGCAAGAGAGGAGGAATCCAACCAAAACAACCCAAAAATAATATCATCGAGCGCGGGGGAGCCTACGAACATGCCACTGGTCGAAACAGACAGATCGCTCTTTGTGTAGGGTACCCGTGACAAGCCTACAGCGGGGGAAACGCCTACTCAGAGGTCGGATCACCGTCTAGGTCCAACGGCACAGCCCGACGCCCACAAGCTCAGTTGCTCCCAGAGGGAATCGAACCCTCGACACCATCCGATTTTTAAAGATCGGGTGGCTGTGTGTTAACAGGATAACCAACTGGACTAGAGGTGCAACGGACAATATGCGTTTGGCGTTGGGGATATGGTGGGCCAGCTCGAAGATCCGTGGTTTGAGACTTGTCGTCAAGTATTTTATTGGACGGAGCCGAAAGGCTGAAAGTAACCTGAGCCATCGCTGAATAGTAGTCAGCCACCTCTCGGTGTCGAGTAGCCGTTGGGTAGAAGCAGATACAAAACTCACAGTATTTGCGGACAACGAGTGGGAGGTCAAAAGGATGTTATATTTTAATTCCCAGAAGCTTCGCGGTGGACGGCGTGGGGAGTCCACATTTGCCGGAGATGCAGTGTACACGCTCCGTCGAATTTTAGATGACCGTGGAGGTGTTGGATCCACATTCGCATCCGGATAAGGTCGGCTCGAAGTCATAACTACTAACGATGGGAGGGAAAGGCGCGGTCATGTCACACACGTGCGCTCACGAACGGAGACTTTGCTGCCCGTCGCGTGAGCTTGAATTAGTCTAGAACTCGCTCGGGGTTCTTAAATCCTCCTTTGACGATTCCGATTATCTTTCCAAACCCACCTCGATTCCGATAACTCCTCGCTCGTCGGAATCTCAACTGATTCGACTCCTACTTCTTTCAGGTTCGCCAACGCCCGGACTCGGATACTGTCCGCGGATACAGATCTTTTTCCATTCGTCCTGCCTCCCCAGTCATCCTTACGAACAATGGGTCTGGACCCTCACCCTTGACACAATATGCAGTCCAGCTATCACAATCTCGAATTAGCTATCAGCAAAACTCCGACATCTTACACATTCGCATTTTGTCGTCATTCCGATTCTGAATCCACTAATAGTTCTTCCCTGGCTAATAGGCTATCGCTCAACGCGCTATCGCCGAATGGGTATTTCCGTCAATCGAGGGTGTCGTTGGGGCTCGGCTCAGTCCGTGAACCTGAAAATGGCCTTATCGCTTGCTGTGCAGCGTCCAAACTTAAAGACGCGACAATGATAAGGTATGGCGAGATAAGCCAGAAAAAAGAGGTTCAATATATTCGATTCAGGGCGCGATGCGCTGTCAGGTCCAGTATATGTACTACTTGGTGTTGTGCTGGCTGGTGGCGCGGTGGCGTATCGTGATGACGCGGACGAAGCTGGCTAGACGCGCTTCTAATCAGGCCTTCAGTTCCGCTCTGCCTCGAATTTTCATTGGTTACAAAAAATACGCCTATGATGTATCAATTCATGAACGCGACGTCAATGTGCATATGCCCCGCGTATTTTGCGACAACTTACGACTTTAGTTGCATCATTTCGAGTTTGGATGATGTCCGCCGGTCACACGAGTGGGACCCCGGATTAGCCGCAAAACGCCGTGACTGTCTGACGTCTTACCCCAGAGTCACGCGGCTACCCCGCATTTTGATTCGCGCAGAAAGCGAGTCCAAATGGGGCTGAAACTATATTAGCGTCGCGCTCCACCAATCGTGTGCAGCGACCGTGGCAGGGAACCATCTAGAAGGTTTCCGAGGCAAGACATTCCTGCTGCCATGAGCGGTGATGCGTGTCGCTCGAACAGCCTCGCTCACACGACTCGATATTCAAAGCGTTGGGGTAAAGGCAAGGTAATACAATTTATATATTGGTTGGGGTTTACTACGACTTTTGAGATGTGCGCCTACATAGTGTACACGGAATGCGATAGGGTTCAATTGTTTGCGGGTGGATTATAGGGTGGATTAACTAGACGGAGTCAACGGACTGGAATGGAATGGAAGTGAGCCAAGTTTGCGTGCGAAGTGTCGAAGAAGTACACGTACGGCAGCGTCAGAGTTGACGACGACGGTAGCCTTGGGGGGAGAGCCGGAGACAGCAGCGGAGGTGCGAGCAATGGCGGAGAGGTCCACGCCCGCAGCGAACGCATTCGTACGGAGCTTGCGCGCGGTGGCAATGTCCTCCTCGGAGAGCTCCAAGACGGGGGACGAGCTGGCCTTCTTGTACGAGGCGGCTGGAGAGCGGGTCTGGGGTCAGGGGCACACGACATGGAATGGTGGCGAAAGGCGCGTACGTTCGTCCGAGTGGGCGCTCTGGCTGTCGGCATCGTCCTCGAGCTCCTCGTCCAGCTCCTGTTGGCCGTCGTCGATACCGGCAAATTCGAGATCACGCTGAGTGGAGCGGCTCCATGAGCAAACGGCAAGCGAGCACCACTAGTGCATGCGGGCGGAACATACCTCGTTCTCGAGACTGCCCCAGTTGTGCGCGCCGGCGCCGTTCTTGCGCATGTTGCTGCTGATACCGGTCTTATTCTCGGAGCGGTCCTTGAGGATCGAGCGAAGGGAGGCGGAGCGGGAGGTGCGGGTCATGATGGGGAAAGGTATATGATATGGGGCGTGGAAGGGCTAGGTCGTTACTGAGCAGTGGAGTGGTAGTTGGTGGTAGCGGTGAAAGAAGTGGGTGGACTCCGCGGGCAATTTATAGGAATCCGGAGCCAAAGCAACCCATACAGGTGATACAATAAAGAACAAAGATGATGCAGGGTCGCTGCGCTTATTCGCAATCAAACCGTCAAGCTCGCTTTGTGTTCTCCGAGGATCTTTGTGCTATGGCCAGCTCGATTATCTGAACCTTTGGACCTTCCAAACGTCCACCACCACCGAGACCTTGCCAGAGCGCATCTAGATTGGTCCCGACTGAATGGGTTTACGGAAAGACATGTGATGGGCCAGACCCCGGGACACCGCATCGCTTCCGCCGAATCAAAGGTTAACAAAAATGATGACGGTTTCAAGCCTCTTGGCCTTGGCCAGATCGGAATGGGTTATCCTTCGTTTCTATCAGAGTGTATTTATTGAGTTTTCTATGGTTTTTGGTGTCTGTGATTTTTTTCTTTAGTTGCCGTTGGCATGGTTTTCAATAATGTTCATTGGGAGTAACCACTCCAAATCCGCAGCATACACGCTAAGATAACAAAGGGAATGCCAAGAAACGGCGCTCGTATTATTGCAATCAGTGGCTTTATTGCCACAAGCGCTCGTGCCACCGCCATAAATCAGACTTTGTGAATTTAGAGTGGAACGGAGGACAATCGAGCCTTGTTAACTGCGCAAATAAACGCGTCGGATAGTACCAAATTTGACATGAAGTGAACGACGCGCGCGTCTTTGGACCTGATGCGCAAGTCCGAAGATCTCCGTCGGCCGACACCCTCCGTCAGAACCTTTGGAAGTTAAATCACAATGGATATCGGACGTAGAAAAAAAAATTAAACGGCCCTGGTAGTAGGCCAATAAAACCATTTTCTGCTTCATGATCATTTATCGCTTCAAAAATGAGTCAGGTTGAGAGAATTTAACGGTTAGATTTTCAACATTTCGATGAATCCCTTGCAGTAACTCAAGCCATAGTTCAGGGTACGTATCCTGTGTCACAAGTTCCTTGTTCGAGAGAACCTGGTTGGTTCATAATTTACAACACCCTACTTATTTGTGAGCTCATCCAACAAAAAAGATCGTGTTCACAAAAGAAAAAAGCGCCTCCAGGTATGTGGCAACGGTATTTGTTGAAAAATTAGCGGCGCGAGTTAGCGGGACAGCGGCGCTACCGTGCCTAACGTCCATAGAGTCCCAAGTCTGCACCCCAAACTTATAGTATATCACTAAACTCCAAGAGAATTATTGGCTTGAAAAAATATCAATTCGTCCAACGAGAGAGACTATACCCAACGCTAATATTAATCGCACATAAAAAAACAAAGTGCTTGGTCCAGGGGTGTTGCAAGGCACTGCTGAAATTAGTAGCGCGAGTTAGCGAGGCAATGGCGTGTCGCATCTAGTACAGCAAGAGAATCATCGCCTTGAATGGCACTTGTATGACCTCATTTTTCATTAGATATGCGAGCTTTATTCAGTTGCTTTGGATTTCAGCCTGAATTTCCTGGTGGATTGAACCCACAGCCAAGCATAGACTAAGACTAAAATAAGTTGAAGTACATGTTTGTGAAACCTAAACTTTAGTACAAAAGTTCAACTTCCCATTTCCACTGCCACTAGAAATTCTGAGCTTTGATGTTAAAGTTGCTTCGAAAGGTCAACCCAAGCATAGAAATCCACAGTTTCACACCTCACTGGCCATGAAAAAAGAGTTTATAGTAGATCTTGGTGAGTTACATGCAAATGAAATCGAGCTGTTCTGAATGCGATATGGTATCCTCCTACACCATAGCTGCCGATGGCTCGGCAGGCTGAGAGGACTGTCTAGAAACGGCGCCTAGCTGTAATAAACCGGGTCGCGTCAACAAAAGAAAAGACAGAACCTCATGAACCCATGCACATACCCTATCGAACACAACTCCCCACACGTATTCCGCAGAGTCAGGGCGAGATAGCAACTGTATACGCCTGTCGAAAATCCCAGCACGGTCCCTCCGACTCCGCCATACGTAGAGGTCGCGGACATCATATGAAAGATGACAATGGAAAGCAACACCGAGAAGAGCGCTGCGAATGGGCGTTCCCTCCTGGTGTCGACTTTCCAGAAGCAGGCCACAAGGGTAAATGCGACTCGTCCGAGGATGGGCCACGCATGAAAGCTCGGGGACCCGGAGCCCGGGAGCGCAGTGTATAGCACTAGCATGAGGATTTTCCACCCGCATTTGGAAAGAAAGACGACGCCGCAAGTGATGGGACCGTTGTTGTCGGCAGCGGTGGATGAGGCCGTCGTGATGTTAGGCCGGGGCATGGTAGTTTGGGCGAATCGGTTTGTCTGCCTCCCTCCATTATATCTTCCATGACACTGCCCACACCGCACCATGCCGCTCCCACGTGCTGGTCCTTATCGATTATCCCTATTATCTACCGCGCGAACCGACAGCATCAGTTGAGCCTAAGAATTAAATTGGTTGAGGTGCTTGCGAAACGCATCGAAACAAGAACTTGATGAAGAGTTGAATGAGTTGAATTGAGTCGATGAACCGAAAGGAGTGCATCGGGGAATGTCGGTCGGAAGGAGTCCGGTGATCTCCGATTATCACTCTGCAAGTTACACTCAT